CAGGGCCATTCAGCCTGTGCCATCCTCGCAGCGGGGAAAAGGGTTTTACTTCCACCTTTTCCTGGTTCTTAAGCACTCCGGAGGCTGGAGACCCATTCTAGATTTAAAGAGTCTCAACTGTTACACTGTTCGTCATAAGTTCAAAATGCACACTCTTCAGTCTATCCTTCAGGGCACCAGGCAGGGAGATTGGCTTACCTCCATTGACCTTTCAGAAGCGTACCTCTACATTCCTATTCATCCCTCGGGCACTTCCTTTTGACCTAGCCTCTGCCCCGAGGACCTTTACCAAGATTCTGAAAGCCCTCGCGGCTCACCTCAGGAATTTCCCCATCCGCATCCACTGCTACCTGGATGACATCCTCATCCTCTCCCCCTCCAAAGCCCAATCTGAGAGGGACACTAGAACCACGCTCACGGTTCTTCAGTCTCATGGTCTTCTCGTAAATTGGGAGAAGAGCCAACTCTCACCCTCCACCCGGATAGCTCACTTAGGTACAGTTATTGACTCAGTTAAGGATAAGGTCTTCCTTTCCCCTGAGAGGCTCCTCAGCAGCCGGAACTCTGTCAGGGAGGTTAGACGCGCAAAGAAAGCATCCTTACTGAGTCTGTCAAAGTTGCTTGGCAAACTGGTCTCATGCATATCCATTATTCCCTGGGCTCGGCTTCATACCAGATCTCTTCAATGGTTCCTGCTACCTTATCAATGCTCCGGAAGAAGCACCTCAAGAGCCGTGGTGAAGGTTCCTCCAAAGGTCCTCGCTTCGCTCCTCTGGTGGACCAGGCCTGCTACCAACAAGGGTCAGCTCTTCAAGGAGCCCCAAAGAGTCGTTCTCACGACAGACACCAGCCTATCCAGTTGGGGGGCTCACATCCATTCGTTTTCAGCTCAGGGCACTTGGTCAGCACTCGAGCAACGTTGCAGTATCAACTGGCTGGAGCTCCATGCAGTATACCTAGCTCTACGCACCTTTCACCCTCAGGTAGGCAGGCGCCACGTACTGGTCCTGATGGACAACATTACAACCAAAGCTCACATCAACCGTCAAGGGGGCACTCATTCCATCTGTCTCATGAAAGAGGCCGAGCAGCTCTGTCGCTGGGCAGAGTCCCACCTCCTATCCATCAAGGCAGACCATATCTCGGGGGTCTCAAACGTTCAGGCAGACTGGTTGAGCAGGGCCACCCTAGACCAGTCAGAATGGCGCCTGCACCCCTCACTGTTCAGGGAAGCCTCAGCGATATTCGGTCATCCACTGCTGGATCTGTTCGCGTCACCACTCGACGCCCAGATTCCCAGATTCTTCTCATGCTACCCCACCCAGGAAGCGGAGAATCATGATGCCCTACGCTGCCCATGGCCCACGGGTCTCTTATACGCCTTCCCCCCCTTCCGCTAATCCCCAAAGTGATCCAGAAATTGATCCTCGAGAGGGCGGAAGTTCTCCTGGTCACCCCGTACTAGCTCAGGAAACCGTGGTTTGTGGACCTTCGCAGTCTGTCAGTGGCCCCTCCTTGGAGGATTCCGCCAGACAGGATCTCTCTATCCCAGGGTCCTCTTCAGCATCCAAACCCGCAGTGGCTTCAGCTAACTGTCTGGAGGTTGAGCGGGACCGTCTAAAAAAGGAAGGCTTGTCCAATCAGGTCATCAGTACCATTCTGGCAGCGGGACGGCCTTCGACCATCCGTATTTACAGTGCCACCTGGAACAGTTTTTGTAAATGGTGCCAAAAGTTGCTCATCAATCCACTTTCCCCATCAATTGCACAAATTTTGGCTTTTCTGCAGGATGGGCTGGACAGGGGCCTCTTCCCCAATACCTTGAGAAGGCAGGTGGCAGCGCTATCAACTGTTGTCTCTGGCAATTCTTCTGGCTCGCTCTCGCACCACCCGCGTATCCGAGCATTTCTTAGAAGTGCCACCAATCTGCACCCTCCTGTGATCCACAGATACCCGACTTGGGATCTTAATAAGGTGCTCATGGCTCTGACCAGGCCTCCCTTTGAGCCCCTGAGGGAGGCGTCTCTGCAATTCCTTATGTTTAAAGTGGTGTTTGTTGTAGCTGTCACATCAGCAAGACGGATATCTGAAATAGCAGGTCTATCCGTTAGAAAGGATCTCTGCATTTTCCACGCGGATCGGGTGGTCTTGAGACCAGATCCATCCTTTTTACCTAAGGTCAACTCCGCCTTCCACAGGTCACAGTAACTTATTTTGCCTAATTTTTGCCCCAGACCTTCTCGAGAAAGGGAAAGGCAGTGGCACACTCTTGATGTCGGATGGGCGCTTCGTATATATATCCATTGTATTCTTCATTTCAGGAAGTCAGAGTCATTGTTCCTGTCATTTCAACCAAAGACGCTGGGTTTCAGAGTATCCCCATCTACTGTAGGCTGTTGGATCAGAGCTACAATCTCCAAGGCCTATTTAACACAGGCGCTTCCTGTTCCTAGGGGAATTCTACAAGGAGTGCGGCTACCTCAGCAGCCTGGGCTACCCAGGCTCCGATAATTGATATCTGCCGAGCAGCTACATGGGCGTCTCCATCCCCCTTTATCCGCCATTATAAAATTGATGTCTTTGCTTCAGCAGAAGCGTCCTTTGGCAGGCGAGTCCTTCAACAAGTGGTTAGAGACCCAGAGGAGATTCCGGCCCAGACAGAGTCCCTCCCATAGGACAGGCCATGCTTTGGTATGTCCCACTCTGGATGCTTGCAGCAGCTCTATGGAGAATGGGCGTTGGTCCTTACCTGATATGCCCTTTCTCGTTGAGCTGCGTAGAGCATCCAGCCCCACCCTAATTTGTCCGTCTGGTGGGGAATCCTGTTTCGGCCAATGATTCAGGCAGTTTATAGTTGAGAGTTGTTCAAACATTAAGATGAGGGGATGCAATTCTGTCTTCTTGTCTTCGTAAAACTGGGGAACGCTAAGGAGGAGTCACATGGAGGAGGAGGAGCGTTCCTCAATTATAGGTCAGCCTGTGAGAGCGAAGACTGGAGCACTTCCCACTCTGGATGCTCTACGCAGCTCGACGAGAAAGGGCCTATCAGGTAAGGACCAACGCCCATTCTAGGACCCACCCTCTTTATACTCTATATAAATGACCTTTCTGATCACCTTATAAGCAACTGCGTCCTCTTTGCGGATGACATAAAACTATTCAACACCACCAACAATGCTACTATCCTTCAAAGCGACCTTGATTATGTGTCAGAATGGTCAAACATCTGGCAACTCCAAATCTTGACCAACAAATGCTCTGTCCTACACATTGGTAAAAAAAAGTCAGTACACCAAATATAAACGAGGTGGATATGACCTCGTTGATGATCCTCACTCTGTCAAGGATCTTGGAGTTCTCATATAAAATGACCTAAGTGCCAGAGCTCACTGTAACAGCATTGCCAAAAAGGCATTAAGAGTTGTAAATCTAATCTTACAAAGCTTCTCCTCCGGAAATATCAAATTGCTAACTAGAACATACAAAACTTTTGCCAGACCAATACTCGAATAGCAGCTCATCAGTCTGGAATCCACACTGCATATCGGACATTAATACAATCGAGCGAGTCCAGAAGTATTTTCACAAGAAGAGTACTATACTCCTCTGCTCACAACAGAATACCCTATATCACCAGGCTTGAGATTTTGGGCTTGGATAACCTTGAACTAAGGTTGCCTAAGGTTAGATTTAAGTGTATCACACAAAATTATCTGCTACAATGTCCTACCAGTCAATGACTACTTCAGCTTCAACCACAACAATACAACAGCACACAACAGATACAAACTCAATGTAAACCACTTCAAACTCGATTGCAGAAAGTACGACTTCAGCAACAGAGTGGTCAATGCCTGGAATGCACTACCTGACTCTGTTGTTACATCCTCTAACCTCCACTCTTTTAACCTCAAACTATCCACTATTGACCTCATCCCATTCCTAAGAGGTCTGTAAGGGGCGTGCATAAGGGCACCATAGTGCCTACCGTGCCTACCATCTCTGTCCTATTGTCCCCATTTATTCATACCTATTTCCTGTATTCTTACTCATGTTTATACTTATACCTATTATCTTGTAAGTGATTGACAAATCAAATAAATAAATAAAATAAAATAAGGAAAGGAATACAAAATCATTTCTGCCTTGGAAACTATTATTAGAGAAGAGTTAATATAAAAGAATTATTTACTATGTGTTGGGAAGAAGGACTTAATTGTGTAAAATTAAAATGCCACATAAAGACACTGATTCTACTCAGTAAAAGGGAAAGATGCATCGATTCTCAAAAACAATTAGAAATTCTAAATATATAAATAGCTGAAAAATTATTTTGCAGGTTACAACTGAAAGACATCTATCGTTAAAGTTTGTTTAACTAAATAAAACTTAAAGAAGAGAAAAACATTAAAAACATGAAACTAGTATTAGTATTAGTCATGGAATTGTTTTTAAAAATGAATAAAAGAATGCGAAAAACCTGATCCATATGACAGTACAGATACAGGTGCTTCAAATCAATCCAATTTATAATACTGCTGGACCTGATAAAGAACTTTTGTAATAGAATTTTTGTGATTGCTTTGATTCTTAAGAGTCAGTTCAGTCATCGGAATTTCTAGTTTTCACATGTGAAAACAGTTTCTGAGAAAAATGCTCCCTTCTCTTCCTTTTGGAATCCCTTGAGTCATCTTTCTCTCATGAAGTCTTCTGCAAAATTAAAGAAAAAAGTATTAAGATATATCAAGTGGATGGCTTCTAGGGATGCCAGTCAAAACATACAGTCATTCTCACCATGCACATGTGTGTAAAGGCAAAAAATGAGAAAAGCAATTGCAAAAACTCAGGGAAATTATAAGTGAAAGCCAATGGTATCTGAAACTCCACGAAATTCTGTGGCTGAGATACAGTGATTACATGGTAAAGCAATGTAAACTTTTTTTCAGTGTAACTAAGAATCTGCTTTTTACGCCTGTCTTTTTTTTCCTCCCTATTTGAAGGTTGTCAGAGTTGCATTGGCTTAAGCAGTGGGAAAGCAAAGGTATGCAACTACAGTGGGTGGTATTACTGCAACCTCTGTCATGTTGATGATACCTTTCTAATTCCTGCACGACTAGTTCATAACTGGGATACTTCAAAATACAAGGTAAAAGTACATACATGCTAACAATAGTACAAGTTCTTGCTCCCTGATTATAGTGTGGAATATGGTCACATGCTGCCCAATAGGAAAACATTGTCCGTCAATCAATCAGTATTTTGTGACCATGTGTTATTATGTTGCATAAAATCATGAAAAGGAAAAGGAAACTAATAATTTAAGAGGGAGGGGGAAAATATCAACAAATAAAAAGGCATGCACAGAATTAGGTTAAGATGGAACCAATACTAAAATTGAGAGCTTAACCATTTCTTTGAGTTTAATGTTGCAAAGGTAGCATCCTGACTATTAACAGCTGTAATCACATCTGCAAGGAGGTAGAATAGTTGTTCAGCTATTGATGCTCACACAGCTAAGGCCAAGAGGGAGGAAATATAACTCCATGATAAAAACAGGAGTTTGTCTCATTCATTTCCCCTCATGTAATGCAAATAAAACAGTTTTACAAAGTGGGAATCTTGGAGGTTTTCTGATTTCCAGTACCTTACCAGTGCCAGATGAATTCTAATGAAGATTAAAGATAACTCCAGTTCTGTCCTAATGACAATCTGACCAAGTTGAAAGCCCAAGCAAAATACATGTGGATAGGTGAATGTCCCGAAGCACACAAGGTTCACAACCTCCAGTAGAAAGCCTCAGTTGCCCACATGAATAAACATTAGAATCCCAATTAGCATGCATCCCATACAACTACTGTAGTGTCCATCAGCTGGGCGATAGTTGTGGTTGTTATGGTTGTTAACTTGAGAATATCCAAAGGTGGCAGCAAAACCTTTATTTATGTTGTGGCCTCATTGTCATTGTCCTCAAAAAAGCTCTAAAAGTTGTGCAAAGGACAGCTGGCAGGAAACTGGACACTTCTTGCCAATCTGGGGACTGACTTGAGGGGTGAAGTAGAAGAGCTGAAACCATTCATTAGCTTACCCACCTGTAGAGAATGAGGCAAGAGTGACAGAGACATAGAGGAGCCATGATCTAGACAAAAGAGGCTGAAACATTTTTTAAGTTCAGGCCAACAACACAATTTCTAGAAGTAGTTCAGGCAGATGCCTCCCTAATCCACTAAAGTATAAGAAAAAAGTTTTCTGTTAACAATTCTGTAAGAGAGCCAATGTGTTGGATTAGGAGCCAGGAGATCCTGGTTCTGGTTCATAAATTGTAGTTGCTCTTTAAACCGAACAGGCACTCTAAGCCCAACCTAATTTCACATATTGTTCCTGTGGGAAAAAATAGGAGGGAGAACTATGTATGTTGCCTTGAGCTCCTGGATGAAAGGTGGAATATGAATCTAACAAATAATGAATTTGTCTCTGATTCAGGATCTGGCTTCAAGCATAGTCCTGGCATCTAACTTTCAAGCATTTATCCTAACATAGCTTAGTATGATTATTTCTATATTATAATTTTAGCTTTTTGGATTAAATATGGTGATATAAAAGTGTAGCACATAAAAGAACAAATAGATTATTTAAATATTTAAACTATTTAAATATCAAGTGCTACTTAATATTATAAAGAAAAGGGAACAGAAGATGTCTAGCAAACAGGTATTTTTGTTCTTGAATACCTTACAGATTTTGGCAAGATCTTAGATGTATGCATCTCCCCCTCCCCCCCCAAAAAAAGAAACAAAAATGGCTCCAAAAATATCAAAAATAACAAATTTCACTAAATTCTCTTTGCTATTGCAAATAATAACAACTTTTATAATAGTGCATTTTACTAAGTTTGAATGGTCAGTTCCCTACTAGTGTTTCACCATCATTCCAACTTCTGGAACATTCCACTAATTGAATTTTGTTTCTTTGAAATGCTGAACACCAGAATTTAGTTTATATCTACATTACAGCATCTTTGGCGCGCTTTTTTAATAAATAAGATTACAGTGTGCCTTATCATAACACAAATAACACTAGCATAATGCCACTAAGAGAGTGATGTACTGATTGCATCTGAACAGTTAAAGATTTATTAGAAGATAAGCTTCATGGATTTCCCCCTTTTAGGTATCAAAGCAAGCCAAAGAATTCCTGGAATATGTTTATGAAGAGCCCCTGATTGACATTCAGAGAGAAAATCCCATATTGTACAGACATGTTGAGCCATTGGCAAGTGTGGCCCGTCTGAGACAGCAACTGAAATCCCTCCGAGCCTATTTATTCAGCTGCAGAGCAGCAGTGGCTGAAGACCTGCGAAGAAGGTAAGACAGAAGAACTGTCAAGAACTAGCTTCCTTGGGGTCATCTTTCTTTCTTTGGCCATTCTTACTCTTCCTTTTTTTAGTTCCCATAGCCCAGCCATTAAAGTGTAGCCCATTGTGCCTGCCTCCGAAGGGTAACTGGATACTTTCAGTGCACACTGGATGGTTTACTGGCTGGCTGGCTGGCTGGCTGGCTGGCTGGATGGATGGATGGATGGATGGATCTATCTATCTATCTATCTATCTATCTATCTATCTATCTATCTATCTATCTATC